AAAGTTATTATACCTCACACAGTAGGAAAAGGATGCGGTCGACGTTAAATGACTGAATCCCAGGGATAGCTTCCTTGTCCTCCTTAGGTATAGACCTCAGCATGGTCTTGGAGAACTGTTGCACATCCGACCACTGGGGGGTTTGATCTGCAGCAGAAGGTAGATTTGGTGAGAAAGCTACATAGGCGCCACCAACAGACTGCCGGTTGCCTGAGGGACCCTCCGACTGTAGCTGAGAACGAGACTTGACCCGCATGGGCCAACCAAGCTCAAAGGGGGAGTTGAAGGGGTCATCTGTACCTTGGGGATGAGGCTAAAGGCTTAGATCGCCTATAGCCGCTGCAAAATCGCCTGTAGCTTTGGGTGGCTCGTCACCGTTCGGAACCTCAAGGGCACCCGACTTGTTTGAGAGGTCTATCCCCAGACCAGCGTTCCTAATACTCTTCCCACCGATGGTCGGCGACCCTTTCTAAACGGAAACTCAGGAGCCGTCTGAGCAGAAGACACCTTTCGGGTGTTAGCCGAGCTGGTGACCTCGTCATCCGGTTTCCGTTTGATCAGCTTGGTAAAGGATTTGGGAGCCCTCTTGTCTCCATCCTGAAAAACAAATCAGACATTAAGCATACAGTCGGATTATAGCTGTCTGTATACATAAACGTGAAAATGGGGCAGGCGGTTAATACCTGGCCCTTAGCCGCCAGTTGAGCTTTCTTCTTCTCCGCATTATCCTTGCGGATTTGAGCTGTAGAGCGGGCAAGCGTCTTATCTTGATGAAGCATGCTTCTGGCGGTTTCTGCAAAAAGAACCGTCTGTCAGATCATCAAGCAGACAAGAATTCACATGTTAGAAACAGTAGAGACGGCATAAAATTGTCGGATGCATGCTCTACGTACGTCTATCGAACATAGTGCTCAGATCGCAGGCGGACAAGAACGCCTCGTCTCTCAGCCATTCACGTTTGGGTACCAAGTTCTTGGGTACACTTATTAACTCGCCGGATAAGAGGGGGTGGTTGTAAGTTCAAAGAACCCCGACTTTATTATTTTCTCATAATCCTCATCCGGAACCTTTGGGAGAGCACACTTCTGACCCAATAGATTTGGCTTTTTATTGTAACAGCGATACTCGAAGTTATCTCGCCATTTGGGGCAGAAACCAGGTAAAACATGTTCTTCCAGTCACACCACTTAGACAGTTTGTCTAAGGTCTTCAAATAGTTGGGGTAGGTGGTCAAGGTGTACCACGCCCGCCAGCTGCTTAGGCTACGGCTAATATAGTGCATATGGGCAAAAGCCTCCCTGCCGGGATGGAGGTCATGCATCTCAAATGCGGTAATGTAGCCCAAAATGTTAACCCAAGAATTTGGGGTTAATTGCCACACACACAGGCCATATCCTCTTAGGATATCCTTTATAGCATCGTGGAGGGGGAAGCGGAGACCGGTTAGGAAGGCCGCCTCATAGCAGCCGAAGTAATTGTTGGCATTCTGATGGTCATCCTTCCAGGAAATGGTACCCATTGCAGGCAGCACCCGGATGTAATAGCCCTCGCCAAGAGGACGTTTTAATTTGAAGTCCGCCAGGCCTTTTTCCATGATTGCCCTGTCTCTGGCAGACACATGGATCCGGAACGGATCCCCCTCGTTGCTCCACTTTTTTCTCTCTTCTGCCTCACTATCCTCAACCGGCGATAGTGAGCCACTACTGCTTTCCCAGAGCTAGACCCAGAAGTGGTCTCTCCCTCGTCTCTCTTAGAGACAGCTTCATCATCTTCCTCAAAGCCAAATACAGAGACGGCTTCTTCACCGTCTCCTTCTTCTGATTCAGGATCCCATCACTAGGAGTGCTGGGTGCACCTGGAAGGGATCCTCCCCCCCTCTTTAGCTGGTACTTCCTCATGGCACACCTTATGTGCCTTCTTCCCTATAGTCCGGATCAAGTGTCGTCCACCTCGTCTGAGCCATAGTGTCCTGCACATACACGGAGATGGTCGGATTTGGAGATGAACATGGGTGATCCAAACACCCAGAGATGGCACCCCCAGTCCTAGACTCAGCCGTACCAGGGGACCGGCTGACTACTGACCTAGGCTGTGTCGTGTGTGGTGTTGGTGAATCCATTTATTGAATGATATGTACACAAACGAAAAAAGTATGAAAGAGCTGAGAATGGGAGAGACAGTACCTCAAAGATTTGTTTATGAAAGTGGTGTCAAGCGTTGACCGGCTGTAACAGGCGGGCAGAAATCAAGCAGCTATTTGTGAGATACACAGACGGTTGACCGGCTGTAACCAGTTGGGCAAGAAAGGAGACAATTGTCTGGAAAGTACACAGGCGGTAGTCAGATATTCTCTCTAGAATGTTTGACTCTCTCTAGACTTTTCGAAAATGACAAAATGAGGGGGGGGGGGTGAAACCCTATTTATAGAGGGGTAAATTTAGGGGCATCCCTATAATTTCCCCCAGAAGGTGAACAGTTAAAACTATTCACTAATGCCTAAGTGACACGTGTCACAGGCGCCACGTGGCATGCCACGACACACCTGTGAGGGGCAAATGTTTTGGGTAAAAATACCCAGGACACGTGGTCCAATCAAAGGGTGACACGTGTCACCTTAGGAGAGGTTCAACATGAACCAATCCTTAGCTGACACGTGACACTCCCAATCCATGGGGAAAAAGACGCCCTTCAGGGCCCAATTCCCGAGAAAAGCCGCAAAACGGCGCAGCCCCCAAATCTAAGTCAGAATGACCTAGATAGGGGCACACTTACCAATGACCCTACAAATAGGGAGATTCACCCCACTTTGGGGACATTTATTCATTAATTACAATACAAACAATTCTTTCACATTATAGAAACCCCCTGATCTCGGAATCCGAGAAGATCTCACTTTAATTTCCGCACCATTTCACTTTCTCCGTACACGTTCTAACTTGATTGTTGGAAGCGGAACTCCACCCAACCTGAGTCTCTGTTGTTTTGCAGGTACAGGCGCCTGGAATCCAGTCTTGGTGACGTAACTCTCCCGAGGGACAAAAACCCCGAAATACACGAGTTATATGATTGTGAATTTGTGATGATAAAACATAGTTCTATGTTTTGAAAAAATTGTGCATGAACCTATAGGCCCTATCACTAGTTACTTCATAGAATTTCAGATATCATATCAAAGGGAACTTGTAAGATGAAAGTAAAACTAGTCAAGGTCTCAAGGAGATAAGAAGTGATTGGAGCAACAAAATAACTCAGAAATAGAAATTAAATCAAAGTTTTTATCCCTAATCCAAATGTTGTTAGATACAAAGATAGTCAAATTAAATTACCTTAAAGTTTTAACTTGTAAAACATCCCCATAAGTTTGTTTTTTTTTTATTAACAACGATTGATTCATAAATAAAAATCTACAAAAAGATTTATATCTAACATATACATGACAATTGAATCAAATAAAACCATCCTCTCAGCAAAGCTATAATCGTTGTCGCGAATCGTACATTCTTTATATCCTCTTTCACGTTGCTGTGATTTACAGCATTTTTCGATGAGGGGGTCTATCGATTTATTGTAGCCGTGAAATTTTTTTTCACCTAGTTCGTCTTGTTGTAATCGAAAGATTAACCTCTTTTTCGATCCCGCACAAATCTTTACCCATGAAACAATTCTACAACAATCCATCAAACAAAAAAGCAAATCCTCCCTCAAAAGAGAGAAGAATTTTTTTTTCTTTCTAAGGAGAAAAATCATCTTAAAGAAGAAGAAAAACTCTTTCTTTCGAGGGAGAAACGTTCCTCTTAGAAGAGGAAGAGTTATTATAAACCTTTAAAAAAAAAAAAAAAACCGATAGAAACAAAGATTGGGGCTTTCCACCGGTAAAAACCGATAGAAGCCCCCTAAAATTTCACAATGGGAGCTAGAGTTTTTTGATTGAGAGAGAGAGAGAGAGAGAGAGGGGGGGGGGGGGGTGGAGGAAGAGAGTAACAACATCCCGCATAAGTCCATAACATAAGAATCCGAGTTTCAATCTTATGGTTAAAACTCAATTCTGACATTGTATGACACTATGGCATGAAAGGGAATATATATATATGTTAAGATTGTTAACTACTTGTGCTTACCCACACATTAATATCAATGAAGAACAAATAAGCAAGCAACCAAGTATATATGAAGGAAACAAGAAAATATTTTAATGAAAACCCGAGAACCGAGAGAAAAGGCCAGCGATCCGCCATAGAGTAATTGCTTCATGTTTATGATGGAGATTACGAGTATTTTTCTTTTACATCAGAGATTACAAAGCTTCAATACACCATTAAAGCTCTCATCTCAATTAATCCTTTCTCACACTTTACTCTATGTGTGGGCTAGCTATTACAACTAAGGCTGTCTTTCTCTCTCCAAACAATTCTACATCTTTTCCTCTTCTCCTTTTCTTAACCTTAATGAGGGTATTTAAGTAAATTTGAGCACTACAACCCAAGACATAAAAATCAATCAAATAGACAAGAAGCTTCCATATCGTAAAAATAGAAAACACGTGAACAAGTGACCAGGGCATCTAAGCAAAAGTAAAAGAAATTTGAGCGAACTTTTCCACATATCACTTTGTACCACTTCCTCCACCGAATTTGGGAGAACCACTAACTATTTCAGGCAAACTTTAACTTCTTCCTACATGATTTATCCTTAAACCATTCTCAACAAATTGTCGATTTAACATGAAAAACTCGAATTGGGTGACTATACTGAATATAAAGTTCCTTCAACGTTTATTGGGAACAATTAATTTGATGTAGCTTACATAAATCTATAGCTACTCACAATTCTAATGAGTCATGTTACTCATGTAATAAACATTGAGCTTGACTAATTGACTCGAGATGTTTCACTCATGTAATAAACTATGAAGAACAAGAACACCTAATATGACTGTTGCTCTATCAATCCCAGCTTAAAAATACACCAAGGACCCCCAACCCGGTTAAACACGAGTCAAATCTCAAGATACAAAGGCTATCAAATACCCTAGTTAATGAGCTTAATAAAGCATTTCCAAATAACACACAAACCAAAATCAAATGCATCACATATAATCTTTTAGCAAGATTAATGCTGTCATGAACAAGAGGGAAACCATGATGAGACTCTCAAGGTACATCATCATTCTTTCTATCCTCCTATACAATGCAGCCTTTTCATGATCATCACAATAGAGTTACATGATTAGGTCTTCAATAGACTGTGATCAGAAAAAGGTAGATGCGATTCGACCAACCCACACAATTGAGAAGCAGCAAGACCAAGTGACATGTGTACAAGCTCACAATTAAAATGCAGAACTTTGCCGCTATATTTTCATAGAACAGAAGAATCTTGGATCACTTCACATGAAATCCTCCTCTAGCTCTTGCAAGGATTTCTCACCTGAAGCTATCTGTTTGTTAGACGTCATCTTGTCAGATACCATCAAATTCTTGTAGCTTCGCATCTCTGCTACCCTCTCTTTCTCTAGCCTATCCATTTCCTCTCGACGTTTCTGCAAAGCATCAAATTGAGCATTAGCTGTATTGAAACAAGATATTATCACAGGAATTAAGTCATTTAACTTTGCCCAAATAGATTAGAAAACCAGATCAAAATGACTTGTCTTGAATTCCTTAACCTTGTATAATTCTTTTCAAGTCACACTTTACCCCATTCAGAAAACAGTGGGATTACATCGTGCTCTCTACATATTATGATAATTTGTTTCAGTGCAGTTACAGGGCCCAGTGCTTTTTTCATATACATGACTGTGGCCATACAAAAGCACTGTTCCAGTACATTTGTCTATCATCTAAATAAAGCAGCGATTAATCCAATATTAATCATGAACAAGGAAAAACTCAAGTAAAAGCCACAGCCTACATGCCAGTATACAAAAGTAGAGCAACAATGTAAACAAGGAGGAAAGGCTGGACTCACCTTTTCTCTCAGCAGAGCCTTTCTTTCTGCCTTTTCAGCAGCACCATATGCTTCACGCTCAGCTGCATGCAGATAATTCACATATTATTGCACTACTACCCAAAAGAAACAGAGAATAGAAGATTGAGAAAGAAACAAGAGGGGGTGAAAGGCAGAAAGGCAGTATTACCAAAATGAGGCTGTGCAAGTATTACCTTTAAAATCTGGTGTCCTTTCCACCTTTGTTCGGTTCAGCCTATTAACGACCTCATTTATTCTCTTTTCTACACGAACAGTGCGGACCTAAATTGACAATAATCAGATCGCCATTTTTTTTATCAATAATATCAGTACACCAATAGCTTGATAAGGCAAGTTCCTAATTAGGAAAAGAATCAACAAACTTCAAGAAGATAAAGGTGAGTAATTACCATTTTTGAGTTATGGAAACCAACTTGGCCAACATCCATGGAAGCAGTTTTCTTCAAGTTGGCCCAGGGAGTGTAAACAACATCAATGTTATTCACCTTATTGCCTGTAGCATGCCATTGCAACCAATGTCAGCATACAAACATCATGCATATGTCATTTCGCCAACAAATACATATTAGCTCATCAAACCATAAATTAAAACGCCCAAGTCAGTTGATGCAAAGGTTGTGAAATGCAAGAATAAAGTCAGAAATCCTCATATTTGAGGCAGCTTACAATAAAATGCTCCAATGAAATTCTGAAAATCAAAACCTCAATACAGTAGTCTAATTACAAGATACTAGCTTAAAAAATGGACTACACTGCCCAGTCAGATGAGTATGCCGTTCATAGCCTGTTCATCTGGTGTGACTGGGGTTCAAGGATCAAACAAACCAGGAAAAACTGTCCTCAGAAAAGCAGCCTTACCCGACTTGCCAAAAACGCACCAATAAAACTTTTGAAAATCAAAACCTCACCATCATACTCCAAGAAACTAGTTTTTCAGAATTGGAGTCAAACAGGCCAGTTAGACCAAGTACTATGTTCACCTGACTAAACATTAAAGAAAAGCCCCTTTTTTGGGGTTGCTGAAAACACCCTTAACTTGAAGCGTTATTCTAACTGACACCTATAAGTGCGAATACTAAAATAAGACACCCTTACGTAGTAATTTTTATTCCCACCGACACCCAGCCTTTTTGAATCAGTCAAATATTTCATTGGTAGTTATTCCATACAAAGAGGAAAATTAGCTACAATTAACGGCTTGTTTGGCATTGTTTTTTGTTTTTAGTTTTTGGTTTTTTGTTTTTTTATAAAAACAAAAAACCAAAAACAGGAAACAAGAAAAAGGTGTTTCCACTTTTTTGTTGTCAGTTTTCCAAAATTATCATGATTTAGTAAGTTTGACTAATTCATTATATGTCATATATCATATAATTTTGAAAATAAAAAACCAAAAAACAGAAAACCACGGCGATTTCCCTAAAGTATTTGGATTCCTATAATTTAAAGGTATGAAAAATATTAAATATATATAATATTTATTTTAAAAAATAACATAATTTTGTAAGAAAAAACAAATATTGGTCTTCTCGCATAGTCCCAAATGAAAATTTAGCCCATATGTCCAGAGTAATTTGAAGGCAAACTTTGGATCATGAAGTATTATTAAGATGTCTCACTTAGAGCAACTACAATGGTTGGCTAATTCTTTTAATAGCTTGTCATGCCACATCATCTTCTACAACAATTCTAGCTATTTGTTGCTCCAATGGTTAAGCTAGTTGTAAATTAATTTATTTTTAATTTAATAATAATTTTTATCTAATAAATATTTACCAAGCTAATTAGCTCTACAAAGCTAATTTGCTTTAACAAAGCTAATCAACAAGATGTGCAACAATGGTATAGCTAATAGCTTAAGATTTTTTTCCCAACCATTGGAGTTGCTCTTACATGCCCTCTACTTGATTGCTGACAAGTAGCTGGCTAGTGGCTACTATGTGCCTTAAGGCTCTAGCATTGATAGCCTCTATGCAATTGCATGGAGAAAGTTCTTACAAGTCATTCCCTGCATACCCTACCTCATACTCCAATCCTAGTCTCAACATTGAGGTGAAAACAATGCAGACAGATGCAGCAATAATGATATTGTACACTATGGAACATACGGAAATTTAGGTATAATAACAATTCCTCCGCTGGGAAGGAGAATAGCTTCCTGCATTACGAAGTTTCTCCAATAAGATCAGTTCAACATAAATAATATATTGATGAACAAACACATTACGAAGGATTCTGGACTTGCCTTGGATGGAATTTGCTTTCACAAGCTGAGCACAGTCCTCTAACAGACCTTCCGATATGCTATCCATTGACTGACCTCTATGCAATCTAACATAGACATGGGCCGAAGACATTTTGTCCACATGGAACCTGGAAAAAACAAAATCAGCAATTTGGCTAAATCACCCTAACTGTGGGTGAAGTTGTATTGGCCAGGCTGACCAGTAAAATGTATGAGTATAATGTATAAAAAATCTCAAGGTGCACTAAGGCGATAGAGGTCCAGCTCAAGCGTGCCTCTTTAAATGCGATTTGTCAAGCTAAAAAAAAAAAAACAAAAAGCATTGTACTCTATTCTCCTAGAGCACAGGCACGCCTCTGTCAGACTTAATTACACAGTGTATGAGTGAATCAAATTTGTAATAAATGATAATTGTTACAATTAAAAAAGTAGTCATATTGGTGCACACAAGTGAATATTCATGCAAAATCCTCCACAAATCAGATTTAGCCCCCATAACAAACTAATATTGCTACCTAGTTTATGTTTTCATAAAAATAAATAAATAAATAATAAAAAAAACTTGATATTCCACTTTGACACCTAATTCTGTTGTTCTACATTTCCTGAAAAACTTGAACCATAGTGTGGAAAATGTATCCATCAATCTTGCCTATAAAGGAAGAAAAAAGAGTGAATTTCTCTATTCCATAACATAGCTACATTTGGACTTGTACACTAGTCCCTTTGACCATCTATTATGCTTTATACATAAGAAAAAAAATATAGTCAAGGGAAATTTTTTTGGATTCTTCTCTATACATTCTTTCAAGATATCAACTTCCATAACTTATACTTGTAGATAATTAATGATACGTCAAAGTTGCCCTGGGAAATGCGTAACTCTACAGGAAGCAATATTTAACCAGGAGTATTGCCGATACCATATAATCTTCACTCCCACCATCTCATTTTCTTAAGCTAACTAAGCTCCTCCTGATGAAAGAAAGGTAGTTGGTATGAAGACTATGAACTAACCAAATACTCCATGACTTTGGATGCCTATTGAATACTTAATCCAACTCTCAAGCATAAAAAAATCATCGATATACTATCTCTTTTCAAAGAAAAAACCCACGCTGATGTCAGATCAATTTGCTCTTAGCTAAGGTACAACCTTTACAAATTTTCATTCAACAGAGATCAGCAAGTAAAGATAATTCATTTAGCTCATCTAACTGCTCACTCAATCTCTTCTTCCACTGACTTCGTCAAATGGTAATGACCTTTTATCCATCTATTGAAGCAACTTAAACATCAAGATACAGCAACTACACAAATCACACTCTTCCATGACACATAGATTTTCATTTACATTAAGTCATTAACACATCACTCAGTGCGTATTGACCAAATTAACGATAACAAATTCTAATTAACATCTTCCTATCGGCGAGCAAAACCTCCAAAAAAAATCAATTTCGGTCAACAATTCCTCACCCAAATCAAAGAAACTTCCAACAAAAAATTTGCAGACTGTAATGGTCAAGAAAGTTACTCAATTTCCCATTAAAACCTAATCCAAATCAAACCCATGTCATAACTACAGCATACAAGTACTAGAAAAACCCTAAATTGACAAGAACTTGAACAGTCAGGGCTCAGGGCATTGAATAAATCACAAAATTCAGAATTTCAAATCATAATCCAATTCTAACAAAACCGAACAATCAAATTCCCGAAAAACCCCAGAACAAACATTATAATTAACAATTGAATGAGATTAGAAAGGATACCAAATGTCTTCAGGAAAGCCGTATTTGATGAGTTCTTCATTCTCGAACTTATCAAGACCCATGAAGATAGTGTAATCCCCAGCTTCGGGTCGGGCCTTGAAGTAGAACACCATCTTCTTCGATGGATGATTCTCTCTCTCTCTTTCTCTCTCCTCTCTTTCTCAGTTATCGCACAGAGTTAGGAGAGAGAAGAAGAAGAGAGACAGTTGAATGTAAAATTAAAAGAAAAAGGGCTAATTTTGAAACAAACAATTTACAGGGAAAATAGGCACAACCCCAGGAATCCGTTTGGCGTACGTTTTTCTTTTATTCCCCGTGTCTTCTCTCTTTATATTCGAAAAGATTACATTTTTTTATGATGTGTCGGATTGTTGCTTAGAATTACATAATGCAGACTACAATGAATTAATCACGAAAATAATAACCGTTTTAAATAAAGGAACGCATTGCATTTTCACGTGTTATGTTCTATTTTGGATATAAGAAGTGAGATCCATAATGCCTAAAAAGTCGAGGTCGTTGTAGAATGTCTTGACCATATAGGTAAGTTTTTTTGGTTAATGTGGTCGACTATAAATGAGGATCATTGGTTAAGAGAAAGCAACGCGTGGTGGATGGATTATCTTTTAAAATAGAATAGTTAAACACGCATGTGTGACGCTCTGTGTTGTTTAAGTGTCCTATATGAGGTGAGTTGTTAAGTATGATCATTATAATATGCGGAGTCAATTTGGCTACTTGCTTATTAATAAAGAATCTTAAATTGTAAGCATTAGACAACTTGGGGAATTATTATGACAACATGACCCCAAAAGTTGTTCTTATTCTAAATAATTTCAAAAGTAGGATATGTATGAGAAGATGGACAAAAGTTTTCCAAAATGATTTAGCTAATGTAGGATTTGTAGGATATGGATTTGTAGGATTTGTATTTATAGTGCAAATACAGGGGAAAAACCTAATTATGTTAGTAGCTTTATAAAACCTTTCCTTGTCTTTAATTGACTCTTCCTTGTACAGAGTACAGACTAAGGAGAACAACATAGACTAAGCATAGTTAAAACTGAAAATTAGAGGACAGAATTACTCATCAGAGTTGCTAATGTAGATCTGGTGACTGGTGTTATTACAAGGAGCTACTCGTAAGAAAGCTTTTCAACATGATGTTCTTCAAAATAAATACTACATACAAATTTACAATACAATCTATACATAAAGAATTGGTGTTTTTGCAAATATGAAGTATAAACATTGCTCTAAGATAACTCACACTACTAATATATAAATTGTGTAACTGATTGTAACAACCCGGGGCATTGTATCCCCGAGAACCAATAAAAGCTTACAAGTCTTATGCCTTACTTGCAAAGATCCTCAAATCCCATGTATTCATGTCGTTGAATCTTTCCAAATATGTTTGAAATGTCAGCTCCACCTAAAAAATATAAATAGAGCAATGTTAATGATGGAAGTCACTTCAGATTTCCTGTTTCTGAGTTCTGACCATAACATGCATATACAAATCTAGTATCTTCACCTGAGAATCACTTTTATAAGAACTTTGAGCCTTATTCCAAACTTAATTTTCCTTCTAAGTCTATTGCACTTGCCTCTTTTTAGTTGCGGATTGCGCTACCGGTCTCTTTGAGCTAATTTTCTTTACATGAACGTAGTGGCCCTTTTCTAAACTTAACAGGGTGAAAAGAACAAAGCCTTAGAGCATCGTAAGGGCTAAATAAGCACGTATAGAGCTCACCTAGTGAGACGGCGCTGATGAAGATTGTGAAAGCTAGAATGAAGATTATAAAGGATGCCCTCCCCATAATAATTATCAACTTTCTGACAGCATGTTGTCCAACAAAGGCAGCAACAGTTGCCACAGCCATAAAGTAAAGTGCTGCAAGTAAAATCATATAAAACTTGTTAATATGCAGAAAAAAATAGAAATCAATGCAAGGAAAATAATATAGACACAAAATAGTCATTAAGGACTTCAAACATCAGTATTTTTTAAAAGACCTTTTGTATTTTGGATAAAGAAGACTAAAAGGTGATTGCTTACCATAAGGGACAGGAAAACGTTTAAGAAGGTAGTACTCTATAACAGACATAGATGCAGAAAAAGCCATTGCAAAGGTAGCAGTAGCACTTGAAACCTGCAGAGCATATCAGAGATTATGATTCCCACTTAGCGATACTAACAAATAATTTACGGATGCTTGTAGAGCAATAAGACAAACTTTGAGTCAACTTTTGCTAAAGATCAATCACATCAAGTTTTGCAAGATACTTGAAAGATACAGGTATCCAAGTACTTGTTTACGACTGATTGCTTAGTATGAATAACCATACTAATGCTTCATTAATTTTGACTACTCGTTTCAAAAGCTAACTCAATCGGCCAGCATGTAAATCATTCACATATGAATCTTTATTCATGAAAAGATTCAGTATAAGAGCAATTCATTCATTCACTAGTTTGAGGTGAAAGGAGTCATACCATATCACTAAGTTAGACAACATAATGCCACTTCTTTTAATTGTCACAATAGCGTCTTTAGTCTTCCATGAAATATCTCATAAGAATCTCAACCTCTTAAGCTGGAATATAGAATTAAAAAGGACTGTTAAATTTATACAAGCAAAAGTGTCACCTGAGGAGGGATTCCCAGCTCCAAGAACAAGGGACCCAAAATAAATCCACCACCAAGGCCAAGCAGTCCACCAGCTATACCAGCCAAAATCCCATAACAACAATACATGACGAGCTGGTGGACTTTCCACGTAGTGGATGCATTTCCTTTGGATGAGATTATTCTTCGTCCATTGTACAGGCTGACTGCTTCATATAAGGATACACCAACAGCAACAGGTACCTGGAACACAAAAAAGATCATTTAATATTCTTCACAGAGCAAAAGAAGGATCAAAAAGCTCTTGTCATACATAGTAAACAAGAAGAGAATAGTTAATTGGATGCATAAAAAATACCTGCAACAAGTTCAAAATCCAATAGGCTGTTGAACAAGTAGCCGTAGTGTCCTGTTCAGTTTATTTGTAAGAAAGTTAGTAATTAGATATATACTATAAAATCAAGAGGACCATAGGCAGACCAGCAAGCCAGAAACTCTGCTAGTCTGCTTGAAAACCCCTTCCTGCCAAATCACTGAAAGACTTTATAAAAGATAGATCTGGAGGATAAAAGAACCTTAACAATCTGCAGGACAAGAAATGACACCCAAACAAACACAAGCAGACCAAGTTCCCTCCAGCAAACATTCTTGACGGCAGAAACCTATATCAATCACATTTTCAGTTAAAAAAGTAACAATCTTGAATTAGGTAAAAATCTCAAATTAGGTGTCTAGCTGATAGTTAGAAATTTACTCACTTTTGTTTCTTTACCCTCCTTATTTGGGCAATCAGGAAGGGGCTTATACTCCACTCCACCACTAACACCTGCTCCCAATATCATAAAGAGATGAATAACCAAGATATTGAATCAAAAGAACCTTAGAATGCCTTTAGTTAACACGTATATGAACTCACCATTTGATGCCAAATACCTCATAGCTTCCTGAAAACAAATAGAACTAAGATTAAGGGGGGACATTGCAACTTAATTTATAATAACAAAAGCTTGAATAAGACTTCCTAGCATCACCCTTCATCAAAACTTGTGTGAACCTATTTGAACTTATCTGAATTAACCTGAACGAATTAAGACTTATTGTAAGTTGTAAAGTGATCTTTGTAGCCTTAAAGCCCTTGTCAGACCCGAATTTTCCTGAAACTTATCTTTCTAGGGAGAAAATAACAAGGCCTTATTATTTTTTCTCAACACTCTTTCCAGTTGACACGTCATAAAAAATTTAAGCAAAATTGGATATTATGATTAAGAACTCATGAAAATTTAACATGAACTCTGAATTATGGATCTGGGTACTAAGTTACACAACTAGAACAAAATGAATACCAGTATCTGCACAAACACTTAAATGGTCCAATCACCTGTTTCATCAACGTTTCTTTTCTCCAAGTTTCAACACCTTTAAAGAATGCCTTCATAGATGTGCCTATAGAAAGTCAGCTCAGATTAGGCTGTCATGTTATCAGCAAAAAAATACGAAGTACATAAAATCAACTAGCAGCACCAAAAAATTACCTATGAAAATAATGATCAGCAAGACAGTGACCATCCATTCAGCAAATATCACATTAAAAGTAACACCAATACTTATTCCCAGCATGAGCATAGGCTGGAAAAGTAGAGCTAAATCATAATCGATGATTGGCATATCAAGTGTTGGATGCCTTAGATTCAGATTGTAGTACACATTGGAGGCTGCAGCACCCGTTATCATACCTGAAGATCAAATCACTCTAACATCATATTTGACTACCACAATACTGTGTACATTTATCAAACAAGATAAAACGAAACACTGTAGATACAGAGAGGGGTAAACAGAAAATTCTCCATTTTTTAGCTATTTGGGCTGGAATTGACCAGCCTGATATTCTATCATACAAAAACAGTCAAAATTCATAATAATCCAACCAAGATTCCACAGTACATATTTATCAATTCTGGATATTCCATTTTGGCATTTTTAATCATCGACAAACTAACTGACAAAGCAATATGGTCTTACTTCACACAATCTATGACAGACAATATAACAAGGTTAAACCCTTACATTTGGATATAGCAGTTGCAGATTTTGGATCAAACCCAATAACAAGACTAAGCATTGGCACAAATATCCCACCACCTCCAACACCACCAACACTTCCAAAGGCTGCTCCACAAAATCCAATAATTGACCCCACAACAATTTGCCACCCAAATTTAATTTCCTGTAAAGTCAATAATACAATATTACTTGCAAAGTCAAAATTCATACGGAGTATAAGTTAATGCACAAAATATTTACAAAACTATTCATTTTAAACCAATATACCTAAATTTTTATAATAAACAAATCAGCTCCTTCAAAAGACTAAAAAGAATAAGCACAGCTATTGTGCAATCCAACCGTAAATGTCTACTAGCTTAGTTAGTAAAGTCTTATGGGGTGTTTACCATTACACCGTATCAAAACTCGTTTACATCATTGGCGCACTATGCTGCCCAAAAAAAAAAACTGCAACCCAATTAAAAACCCTTTTCTGGGTATTTCTGATTTGCAAAAGTTCCATAACAAATGCAGTAACACATGATTCAATATTCTGGGAATCCACAACAAAATTAAGATAAAAGTGTTAAAAGGGCATGTAAATTCAATTAATTTAAACCAATTCACTAATTAAAAAAAAATATATATATATGTTG